GCATCGAACACCGTTCCAAACTGATAACGACGAGCACTAGCGTTTGCTTGATCTCTTGCTAGACAAACCAGTTGAATAGATACATTCCAGTAAGTTGAAGGCGAAGGGTCCTAGACGCAACTCCCATTTTTTTTATATCCTTTAGACGACTGTTCCTTATTTCAAAACATGAGAAACAGAAAAAGGAAAATTATTTGGCAATATGGCGCAGTTCGGCGACGAGGGGGGGGGGTTGAGGCATTTTGCACTTTTGCCACTTCTCATCGACGTGTCGAGCCATCGAGAGAGCCTCACGAGAGTTGACAGGTTTTATCATGGTGGCTGGACGAGCTTGCTCCAGCTACACAAGAGTTCACAGGTTTCATCAGGTGAGACTTGTTAATCGGAACTAGTGAAACTGCGAAAGTGCAAAATGTCCACCCCCTCCCCCCGTCGTCGAACAGCGCCGATAGTATTTAGCTTTCGAATTCTGAAACTCGATATTCACCCACCATTTGAGCATTCATCACATGAGCGATTCCAGATACCGCACCATTAGCCACCATGCGACAAAGATTTATAAAGGAGAACACCGCAAGTTCGTTGTTCAAGCGGCAAACCACAAGCTCAAAGTAGCGCTCCAACGTTGCAATGTCGTTCAACGGCGGCGCGTTTTTGCCTGAAATGAGTCCTATGACAATCTGTCCAGAGTTAAACTTAAGGCAACACTTACTGTACTCCACATTCAACTTCAAAGTCAATGTGTGCGCGTCTAAATGGAAGTTGAACGAGACAAGACCGCCAATTTGTTGTGGCGTCTGAGGTGCCGACGCATCCGTTCGTTGGGTTTGAGGTGGAACCGCCACGGGGACCGAGATGCGGACCTGTAGAAGGAAGAACTAAGCTGCTTTGAGTAAACACTAATAAACATCTGAAAGGCAGTGAGAACGATTGATGGAGGTGGTAGGTTGTTGCTAATGTCATTGGTGGAAGGGCTATGGAATTGGCCTCCCCTCCAACAATGACGTTGGCGACAACCGCCCACCCCTAGCGATCGTGCCCAAACCCTTCAATTATTGAAATATCTCAACACTCACGAAATCCAAGCCACATCTCATTTCGCTGAATGGAAAACGACCAGCAGATTGATTGCGCATGTGAGCCTCGAATGCCAAAGTCAACCTCCTGATGAAACAAAGCGCTGACAAATAGTCATCGAGCGGAGCACGCATCAGATTCGTGCCAGCTGTAATAGAAAAAAAAACATTTTTCAGGAGGATTTCAAAATTTTTAGAGGTACTTACGGATTTTGACGTAGACAAAGGCACGGCGCAGGGTGTCATGGTCGATCACCACTGGTGCTGAAGAGGTCTCCAATTCAGCCGTACCACCTAACATAGCCGGTGACACAACAGCTGCGTCTGAATTTGGTGGCACCGACAGTGATGCCGATAGGGACAGTCCAGCTGGTGAGGCGTCCAACTATCTGAAGAATGAACGAAATTATAAGAAGTTATGAATGGGCCATCCAGGGTAAGCGATTGAGAGCAAACCTACATTGGGTGGTAGAGAAGCAGGTTGAATCGGCGAGTTCGAATGAAGAAATCGTGATTCATTTTCTTTACACGACTTTGACGTGCCACTAAAACAGCAACGATTCGACGTCATAATGAACTAATTACACTAAACAATCAATTATCTGCATATTAGGCGCGGTTCGGCTGAGGGGGGAGCATTGTATGCTCGCGCTAGTTTCTTTTGCTAGTCCCTCTTGAATTGCACATTTCAACTTGGTAAAACTTGTGGACTACTGTGTAAACAAAGCTCATGCTTCACAGGATGTTACAAGTCTCCACAGCGGCACTGACAGCGATGGATGGGAACCAAAAGAATGCTCCACCAACCCAAACTGCGCCGTAAATTCCAATACTAAGTAAAATTTATTGTGATTTCTGTTTCGTCGATATCAGCGAGAATTTTAGTGAAAGCCAGTACGCAATGAGGATTGAAGTAAAGCTCGAAAAATAAAGGGGGGAGAAGGAATTCCTATCTGCCCTTTTAATTACTGAGCCTAACCTGCACAAAAAGCAGACAAATATACCGACAAGAAAAAGATTTCATCCTTTTACAAGCCCAGACCCTTCCCTGTTTGTCTGGAAAACACTTCCCAGAGCCAGAAACCGAACCCCTTTTCCACTTTAGAACAGGGCGCGTCATAAAACGACACACTATCGCTGTAAAATCCACATTTTGGGGCTATATTCGATCTAGCGAAATTTTGGGCTATATTCGATCTAGCGAAATTTTGGGCTATATTCAGAATTCAGACCGATCAGCATCACCCCATCTCCTTGCAAAGTGATGGAAAAAATCCTAAAGTCCTGCTTACTATCATGGTTCGATAAATATCATATTATCCCGCGCGAACAGTTCGGCTTCGTAAAGAACTCATCCACTTGTCTACAACTATTGGAATGCACGCACAAATGGGCTACTGCTTTGAGTGAATCCAAAAATGTCGACATCATATACTTCGACTTGAGCAAAGCATTTGATAAAGTGGTCCATATTAAGCTCCTTGATAAACTAGATAGTGTTGGCATTAGAGGTTCCCTTTTGAATTGGTTGAAGTCCTACCTATTAGGAAGATCATTCACTGTTAATTTTCAAGGGGCCTTCTCACATAGTCACTACTGCACCTCTGGGGTTCCCCAAGGAGGAGTTCTTTCACCCCTCTTATTTATAATATATACAATCGACCTCCCAGCCGCCCTCGCGTTCGATAAAGATATCGAGATTTATGCGTTTGCTGATGATATTAAAGCGTTCACATGTTCCAAACCTGGCGAGTTTTCGAGCATGAATGCTCGGATGAATGAAGTTGTGGGTCGTTTGTCTGAATTCACCAGAGATTGGGGCCTAGAGCTCAATTTCAACAAAACTTGTGTTCTCACTTTGGGAAAAGATCATCCTGAACTCTCTTTAACAAACATTCCCTCGTCATCTATTGTAACTCAAACACGGGATCTCGGCGTAACTGTTTCTAGCTCTATGACTTGGGATCGCCATATTGACGATATTACTACGCGTGCCCTTCGTTGTCTTTTTAGCCTTTTTAGAGGACGGTTAAATCGTCAGATGTAACCATCCTCATTAGGCTATATAAATCATACGTGCTCCCGATTTTAGAATACTGCTCTCAGGTGTGGAGCCCACAAGTAAAAAAGCTAATATGGAAGCTTGAAAAAGTACAGATGACGTTCACTAAGCTGGTTTATCTTCGCGCACTTCCTGATCCGAGCTACCCCCGAACTTTGCCGTCCTACAATGTTCGCCTTGAAACACTTGGCATGAGAAGCCTTCTCTATAGGCGAACCTTAGCAGATTTAGTGCTCGCTTTCAGAATTCTAAATGGAGAGACCTGTCTTATACCTTCTACCTTTTGGCGTTTTCAAGCCGTCGTTTTTGAGAAGGCCCTCGTATAACATTTCAGTTTCCAGATCTTTCGGTCGTTTTGGCTACCAAAACAACACTTCCAGAAATTCGTTTTTCTACCGTACGTCCGTCTGGCTTAACAAGCTACCCATCAATGTTATTCAACAAGGAAACACGTCACTTTTCAAGAAGGCCCTTAGGAAAATAGATTTGATGACATTACTGGATATTAACGACTTTTAGAGAGAGTGCCATTTTAGTGCAGTTACAGATTCACCTAGGTTCAACTTGACAGAATCGAACTAATTATAGTCTTCTTTACACTGCTCTCACATGTTTGCTTCCATGTTCGTTGACTTTTTTGCTTTTAATTACATGAATGGTTTTTCTGCCTAAGTTCTCTCTCTTCTTTTATCTCTTACCCATACCTCACACCTTGGTCCACAATACAAACGCATATGATCATACTTCCCTGCATCAGAGGATCCTCTCGGATGCCTTGAGCACTAAAAGGCGCTCACGCTTACTATTACTTACTATAAAAAAAGAAAGATCAACAAGTGAACTGGTTTCATCTAGGTTCACTTGGGGGTCTTACGCCTGAGGTGACAAACTGTCTTTTTTCCACAAAACAGTACTTTTTTGAATTTTTTCTTTTCCCAGTTGCAACATACAAGAAGATTGGATCTATAATTCAAATTACATCCGATATCATATATTGCAACCTTGCTTCTTCAATTATCCTGATGTTAACGTGGCCGGGAAGCATCTGTTTGGGCCACTCAAATTACGACCACCGCCTCGTCACCTTCCAATCGCTTCGTGCGGTTGCACATTTAATTAAAACTGACCCTGGTGAATTGAGGTGCGAGTGGAACATCGAGTTCTCTTTTGGGTTCATACTGGATGTGGAGCCACCTCTGACATCGCCTACTGCAATATGTATTGCATGATATCTGGTGTGCTTCAATTTAGCCATGATTCACTTCAAACTTTTTTCTTTGCAGAAGGCACATTCCTTAAATGTAATAAAATAACAAATAAAATATTTACTTATTACTTCATCATGGCATCCAATGTGTTACAGTCAGTTTAACCTCAGTGCGAATCCAGGCTTTAACCTACGCTCCTTTATTGCGTCGAGCCGTTAGTAATGCATAATGTTTCCTCTGATGCAGGTCCACATGGCTCATCAATTTCACCCTAATGTAGAGCTGAGGTGTAGTATGGGGAAGAGGTTTTTATACGATCGATTTATTGCCTATGTTCTACTTGGCTTGTACGCCCTCGTTTAATTACTTCCCTCCGCATTTAGTTTTGGCCTAACGGGCGTTTAAAAAGTTTTTCGCTTTGTTTGGTTGGATTTGCCACCGGTTTGATTTGGCCTTTCAGCGATCTGATTTGCCTTCGAGTTGTATGTTCTTAATATTCATGTTCTTTTTTGCTGTCGATGGTGCACTTAAGTGCTATTAAATAAATAAATAAATAAATATGGTATTCGACTGGCGAAAACTATTCGGTTTTCCCTTTCACGGCAGCTATCGATAGGCCTCGCGATGGCTAAAAGGCGATTTGACCCTCACAATGACTTGTAAAAGAATACTTCGTTCACGTTACTCCCCCTCTCTTGTGAAAAAATTGTGTAAATTTGTATTAATGACTTTCCCGGAGATACATTTGACTAGAAAATCGTTTCATAAGGCAGTTTGACCCTGCGAATAAGTTGTTGCGACTGTCTGGCGTGAAAACGGTTGGAACCTGCGCAATAGGCGCCATCAAAACTAGTCAAATCGCTAAATTGGCTAAGAACCGAGGGGCAGTCTGACCCTTTATAGATCCGGATGAAGTTCCAAGCGCCTGTAAGACGCACACAAGGGGGCAAATCCCTTATCTGGATCTTACAGCTGAGAAAACTATACTCTGACAAATGAAATTCCTTCCGAAAGCGATTCTTTAACAAAATCAGAATTCCAGCCAGGCTATGTTGCAGGCCGAGGATTTCCAGGGGGGTGAACATATTTCTTCGCTTCGTCGCTGGAGGGAGAGGAGCGTTTCATACTTGCCCTTGAGAAAAATTTTTTGCTGACATTTCTAGATTTTTTTTTAATTGAGCTGTGCAACCATTCGTCCCCCCCCCCTTTTGCGGCAACGCTTGGGTAAAAAGGTTGGGAACATTCAAAAGCACGGTAGGAAGGATGGGAAATGGAGAGGGGGGGGGTCGCAATTGGAGGAAGGAATTTCGAGGAGGGATCGAATTTTGCTGGAATTTTCCCCAACTGCAGGGCGTGCCTTGACTGCAACACAAAATCGAGAACAGATATCGGAAATGGTGAGTGCTAGAAAACGGCGGTAGTGTCCAAGAATTAAAAACGGCGGTAATGTCCAAGAATTACGGTAGAATCATGTAATACTATGTTATTTGTTAATTGGAGACTTACTTCGATAAAAGGTGGAAAAACTGGTGAAGACCAGCACAACGAGGCTTATTTCGTGAGCTATCGCGAATGGCCACAGTATCTCCAGACAACATGATAAATTCCAGATGAATATGCCCATAGGTCAATCGCAACGTGACCTCATTTATCGGCATTAAATGGAACTAAAATAAATAAAATGGAGACAGATTCCGCAACCAGGAAAAGTGCGACTTCAATTAATGTTACAATTCCACAAAGAACTGGATTTGAGACAGGTGGCAGCGGTCACCGTTAATGTTCTATGTGGTGCGGCTACTAGCGATGCTACCATTCACATGGCCCGAGGTTCAGCTTTCGACCAGGCCTGAGCGTTTCATTCCTCTTGTACTCGTGAATTTTCGGTAAAACTGATGGGGGAGGATGAAACGTTGGCTAGTAAATTGGCTGGCCCCAGCAAGAAATTGTGAAGGCAAAATTCGCGATTTTGAATGGAAGAAGATGCGCAGTACACTCCATAAGAGGCAAATGTCTTCCATCCTCGTCATGCGGTGAGAGGGCGCCTACTCTACCAAAGGCCGCGTTCATAGCTTGCGACCATGAAG